TCTCTCTCTCTCTCTCTCTCTCTCTCTCTCTCTCTCTCTCTCTCTCTCTCTCTGTGTGTGTGTGTGTGTGTGTGTGTGTGTCTGTGTCTGTGTGTGTGTCTGCCACGTGTGTGTGTGTGTGTGTGTGTGTGTGTGTGCGTTCAGGAAAGGAGGATGTGACACTTTGAAAGAAAATGTGGCATACCTCGAAGTAAAAAAAAAAAAAAAAGAGGCGAAACATTCACCACAATTCTTGATTTTAATACCGCTTGGAATGTTGTCGTTGTCTTGGAATCTGTCAGCAGTGCGCAGCAGCGGTGTTGAGTCGACGGAAGGAAAAGGGGGGACGGGGGTGAGAGGAGTGTGAAAGGAACTCATGAATTTCACACCGAACGCGCATGCTCCATCTGCGATAGGTCTTAAGTGACATCACTTTGTATTTCTCGCACGTAGTTGCAATGGATGGCGCGAGTCACGTATGTGACTGTGGGCGGCCTTTCATGTCATTACGGACGATGAACTCACACCGAGCGCGGGCATGTCCATCCGCTGTGGAAGACGGGAGCACGGCACAAGAGATAGTTGGGGAGGTTATCGGTGGACCGTCAAATAGTGGTCCCATTAATCTGGTCAGTGGGGAAAGCGAGGAGGTTGAGCCCCCTCCCGATGTAGAAGCAGACTGCGCATCCGAAGAACAACAAGAACAACACACAGATGCATTCGAAAGCTCCCGCAAACTTTCGGCATTGATTTTCTCATGTAGGGGCGGTGTGGGCATGTCCCAAACTGACGTTGACTGTTTGTTGTCACTCCTCAAGAATCATAGATTCGACCCAAGAAATATCGCATTTCGTAACAGTCGTGAGTGTCTGACATAGGCAAGCCATCAGGCAGAGGCTGCAGGGTGACAAGAGAACAATCTACGCAGTGATGATTGGTCAGAAGAAGCGCACGCCATTTTGTGGTACCGCGACTGGCGCACAACGTTCGTTGACCTTGTATGTGTTGCACTGCACAACGTTGAAACGGTTTCTTGACTCGAAATAGAACCTCCCGGGGACGGGATCAACATATGTGGCTCCCGCACGGGCTAGTTGAGTCACCATGTCCAAACTGTTATCAGAGCGGACAAGGGTGTGGACACGAATGGTAAAACACGTTATATCATCCCTCTGTCTCTGTATTCAGACAAGACTCATGTAGACGGTCGTCAAAAGCAGTCAGTGTATCCTCTAATGATGTCAGTAGCCGATCACCCTTTGGACGCCACACTCCTTGAGTATCTTCCTTTGCTTCAACACCGGCCACGTGACAAGGGCTGGGGTCTGCACTCCACCGCGTTTAGAAAACGGAAAGCTGTGATATTGCATAAAGCGTTGTCAATAGTATTGCGGTCCGCAAATGAGGCATCCCATGACGGCATGATAGTTACAACGGAGCGGTTCGGCGAGATAACAGTCCACCCTTTCGTCATGAATTATATACAGGACTATTTTGAAAGGTGTGCTCTTGCAACTGTGAAATTCGGTGTTTGTCCAACATGCACAGTGTCCGAAGACGATTTCGATGTTATCACCGATTTCGCCAACTGCAGGAGATCGCAGACGCTAGGCACACAACTTGCTGCGAACTGCTTCAACAATGGGGACAACGATATTCGTCGTGCCGCAGAGGCACGAATGTCAGAATTGCATGTTCAAGAGAACGGCCTTTGGGGATTCTACAGGGATCCACATGGTGACGATCCTTAACTAGATTACTATCTCGCTTTGCAACCGGACCGTATGCACACCATTGAACACGGCATTTTCTTGCATATGATAGATGCATTCAAGGCAACAACTTATAAGAAGTTGCCGGATATCGCGCAAAGCGAGATATTGCACGAGATGGATGCGAGGTTGCAGAGCATAAGTGAGAGATGTGTGAGGACATACCCGCAGCTCGTGTTGCCCATGGCCAAAGGTTGTGATTTTTTTTCAAGGGAAGGACGATTTAAAGCGAAGCAAAATCGGTCTGTTATGAAAGTTTGCGTGTTTATTATTTGTGATATCATCCCACGTGCGACAGGCAAATTCATTTCCGCTTGTTTCATCAAACTCATGGAAATGTACATACACGTGTTTCGTAAGTCGACCACCACTGCGACGTCTCTCGATGTATGTGACGCATTGATAGGTGATTTCATAACGAGTATAAAAACAACGATGGGAAAATAACAAACCTCGAATTGGAAAATTTCGAAGTTGCACGACCTTATGCATCTAAGAACATGCATAGAGCGATCCGGTGTCCCCGACACCTTCGCAGCTGATGTGTGGGAGCATCATCATCAGAGGTTCTGCAAACAACCATATCTGGCATCGAACAAGCGGAAGGCTGCTTCCCAGATGGTGAATCATGTCCGACGCTCATTGGCTTTGTAGGATGAGATTAAGATTGTGAGAAAACGAAGATAGAAGTCGGCAGAAAATTGGTCATCCGTAACAGACTGCATGGCCACCGGAACTAATACCCTCGCAACGCGCGACACAGCAACTCTATAACTCCTGTGGTTCCAGATGGACGGTGTGCATTTGCCGAAGGTGGAGGGTATAAGCAACGTGGCGTTGAGAATACTTAACGAGCTTCCCTGCAGAGAGGATTTTCGAGTTGCGCTCACGACGTTCATGAGCGAGAACGGCTGTCAACCTCCATCTGATGACCAAGTGATACACACTCGAACACACTCGACTATCGCATGCACATACGACGGGACGCACAGGAGCGCAGACGTTCAAACGGCAAAAGCTTCACCACAGTTTTACGGGAGAGTCGTGCACAGCGATGTTGCAGTGAGAGGTGGGAATGACAACATATGGTATGCATCAGTAGCCATGTTTTTCGTCATGAACACTTGCATAGGGGGTGTTGCAGAGATGCACAGGTGTTGTTTTGTGCAATGGTACAAAGAGGTGGCTAGCGAAAGGGAACACACAACAGGTTGTAAGAAGTTGCAATGGGAGAAGGTAAACGGTCATCAGCATAGTAGTGTCATAACGATTGACACCATCATCGAGACCGTTCACATTGTTCCTCGTTTTTTTAAACCACAGTGGGGCTCGAAGAAGCATGCAAAAGAGAGGGAGGACAGTTTTTTGTTGAATAGATATATAGTCTAGAAGTGAACATGGAATTAGAGAAAAAAAATAATAATAAAAAAATTCAAAGGCTGAACGTTTTTCCGAGAATAATCTGTGGTGGGCGCAGTCGCAATTTTACAGTACGTCATCAGTTCAGCTTTTGTATTTCTTTTACAGAGAGAGAGAGAGAGAGAGAGAGAGAGAGAGAGAGAGAGAGAGAAGCGTTTGAACAACAATAGTAATTTTGTAACGATGGAATTCAAATATCAGTAGATTTTTAAAGCGGCGAGACTTTATTTCAGATTGGCACGATCGTGCAAGATGGAACAACACGGTTGTGAGACTGTTTGTTTCGCACGGACAAGGTTGTGTTACAGCGTTGCATAGTTTTTATGTCATCTTACACAACAATGTAGACAAAGGTATATCAAGCAGTGTGTATGGCGAAGGTAACTTCAGAGTTGCCTATTGCGTGCACATGTATGGTGAACGTGGACTTAAGAAGTGGCAGGTGGCACGCACTAGCCAACCTATGTCTATAAAAGGTCATGACGTCACAGGAAACCGTCATTTTGCCTCGCAGTACTCTCTCTCTCTCTCTCTCTCTCTCTCTCTCTCTCTCTCTCTCTCACACACACACACACACACACACACATTGTCGAAAGACTTACCACTAAAGCCAAGTAATTGACAAGATGTGTTTCATGGTCGTGTGGACTGGAAATGTTGAGGTCGAGGTAACGCCAGAACGACAGTCTGCAGCGGAAGAAGTGGCAAGACAACAAGCGAAAAAAAAAAAACGCTTACAGGAATTATGGAGAAGCCGATTTAGACTGACACTACAACCTTTGTCCATCAGTCGTGACATCTGTTGTGTGGCAAAGAACGAGGGGTGTTTAGATGAGCGAATCTTACAAAATGAACGAGGGGGTAGATGACAAGGGTTGTATCATGGGCTCAAAAGCGAAGTACAGTTCAGAAACAGCAAGGAATGACGAACAGTCATGTGGACCAAGTGTCACCGAACCGTTGCTCCCATTGAGCAGTGAGAGATCAGTGAAGCGATGGAAGAGGATAATGGAGGACTTGTGGTATGCGGAAATATACGAAATAATGACCACAGATGACGTTCAATATTCTCAGATGGTGCATGAACCTTTGTTCAGTATTGTTAGGGGCAATCGGTCGAGAGCTATGATTGCAGAGGCTGGAAAGAGGCCTGAGAGGGTGGACGAGGAACACTTGTTCCCGTTCACATGGAAATCAATAAGATACGCCATAGCGATAACGAAACGAGATGTATTGCGATTGGGTGCGAAGCAGTGGCTGAACGACGACGTGATCGATATGTACTTACAGTCCGTCTATGAAGAACATTTCCCTGCAGAGGACAACACGACACTTCATGTTTGCACAACTTTCTGGCATCCCGCAGTCATCGCCAATCAGAAGGTTTATGTCGTGAAAGGAGAATGGCAGGAGCGGATCAAGAGTAGACCTGCAAAGTTGCGTTGAATAAGCAATGAACTGCGAACGACAACTGTTGTTCTCATCCCTGTGAATCACAAAAACCATTGAAAATTGCTCTTATTACTAAATGTCGGCCGGTTTTTGGCAGTCACGGAGGACAATGATGGGCAGAAACGACCTGTTGCGATCATCATGGATTCCTTTCAACAGAGCGGCCGACAAGAATGGAAGGCGTTGCGCACATTTTTGTGGTATGAATACCTCAAAGAGGCAGACAAAGAAGGGGTGTTGACTCCCGAGACCGTGGACACGTCGTGAGTGACATGCAGAGATCTACTTGAATCTGAAATAGTATATGCGGAATGTTCGCAACAGACCAATACGTCGTACTGTGGTGTTTACGTTTGTCGCTTGGCAGCTGAATTGATGCGAAAGCTAGCAAACGTGACTAAGGGAACGAACATAACCGCAAAATATATAACAGAAGTTGTTACCTCGATGGAGGTCAACGAACAATCGGTCGAGAGATTTCGTCAGTCAATGGGACAATGCTTTGCGCAGTGTGCTGCAATGGCAAAAGGATATAACACCGCAACAGCGTGTGACATAGAAAATATCTTTAGAGATCTCATAGACGGAACACGGAGTGGAACTTCGTAATTACAAGGGCATGATAGATACCCGGCATCGAAACACGAAGTTGACAACCGCGTGCAATTATACAAAACTCACATGTCGTAGAGAAGCCAATCGGCACGCAGTAGCCAACTTGTGCATGTTACTTGATGGATGAATGCGTGATGTATCATAGAAAAAAAAT